AACGGTTCTAAGTTTCTTTAGTTCATTTGGTTATGTCCTGAGTTATAGATGTTTTATGTTCAGTCTTTTGGATTACACAAAAACCATAATTTATTTGCTAGCAATCTTCCAAAAAATTTTGATATATGGACAATATATGTACTTTTCTTTCTACCTAGGCAAAAGAGGTAGCAAAAGAAGCAAATGCATGGGCGGAGGAGAAAACAAATGGCCTAATCAAACAAATACTACCACCCAATTCGACTAATAGTCTCACGAGGCTTATCCTTGCCAACACACTCGACTAAGGTTCTCAAGGGGCAAGGGTTGGTTCGTCCTTTCTCGCCAGGTGGCATGACCGAGATGGTTCGGGAGTCGGGTCCCGGGAAGGAACTTTTCGTGGAGGCAATGTTTCATAAGTCGTGTATAGAGGTGGACGAGCACGGGACGGAGGCCGCTAGTGCTTGTTTTTCTTTGTGTGGGGGTGGCGGTCCTCCTTATTATGAACTATTGGAGTTTGTGGCTGACCATCCTTTCATGTTTGTGGTGAGGGAAGATGTGAGTGGTGTGGTGTTGTTTGCTGGCCAAGTGCTTAATCCCCTCTCTTCTACTTAGTACTTTAGTAGTAGCATTGTGTGGAGATGAATCATGCAATTTTAAAATTATCATATATATATATATATATGTATGTCTATGCTTAGACATAATTAACTTGATCTCCTCTCTACTAGTTAGCAGCATGACATGAAGATGATCATGCAATTTCACAGTTTCCATATGCTATGCTTAAGACTTTGAAAATGACATAAAATGTCAATGTATTATTGTTATTATTACTATTGTTGTTTTTATTGTGTTTAGGAATGATTGTTGGTGAAGTGTTTTTTAGTTATAAAGTAGTCACTATGCAATCACCAGGATTCTCCGGAGTAGTTAGTTTTTCTTCACTTGAAGGTGTATTTGTGTAGATTTATGATTTAAATCTGTGTGAAATATTGTCCTAAGTTCATCACTCATCACTCAAGTGCCTGATTGGAGGATCAAATGTGGCTCGCAACAGAATTTGGTAGAGAGGCTTGCAATGAACTCATGTCCCAGAACTCAGTATAATATAAAACACAATGCTGAAATATTAGAAAATCGCAATACTTTAATATAATATAAGCCAAAGTTAATATAATCAGGCACTTGAGCGAGTACAATGCTATCTTGGGGAGAATCTGCCTTATACAATCTCAAATTTATCATCTCATTTTTCACTACGCCTTAAAATTCCCAACTTCAAAAGTAGAAGTGAGTACAATGTACAGTGCTATTTGAACATCGTCTGAACATTTCGTTTGAACATCGTCTAATCTTCTGTCATGATCAATTGATCGACAGATGAACCACACTGTAAAGACTTTTGCAAACAATCACAAGTGACTGAAAATATTTTACTAATATATAAAGTAATATTGATTGAGTTGCTTATAAGATAAAATTAATTTTTTAAAGTATTAGTAGAATCATATGATTGGATAAACAGTAAAACCTATATTAATAACCATTTTATTTAAAAAATTGATTAGTATAATTTAAAAAAATAAAATAAAATAATTTATCTAGTGACAATGAAGTTGATATATGTATATATATTTTTTTTCTAATTCCACGGATGAATTTTTCGTTGTATGTAAACTTAAATATAATTTTTTTTATAAAAAATAGTTATTCAATAAATTCAAATTTATCAATTCACATACTTTTAATTATCAGTTATTTATATTTATTTTATAAATTTTATGTCATATTGTTTTTATTTAGGGTTAATTGCCTCTAAAATTATAACCTTTTGTTAAATTGCAAAAAAAACTCAACTTTTTGAATTTTGCAACTAAATACCTAACTTTTATTATTTTTTGCAAATTTGTCTCAAATTCAATTTCCGGCAACCCTTGCTGACATGTACTATCGAAAATTTGACGTGGCACCGAAGTCAATGCCACATCAGAATCCACGTCAGCCCCCCAACACCCTTAAAAGGCTCATTTTTTCCCCATTATTCTTTTTTTTTCCATTATTCTTTTTTTTTTCCAAAACTGCAGAAGTAAATCTCATAACCACATAATAGTTTTACAAATCGATAGATCAATTGATCTCAACCACAATCAGTAATAGAGGACTAAGTCTTAATAATCCTCAAACAATACAAAAGACCAATACTCCAGAGGCACCTTTCTCACTTGCACATTTTTCACGTAGATCGGAGAATTTTTTGTAGCGATTTGAATTTGGACGACGCTAAAATTTGGATCGAGCGACGGATTTAGAAGAACGAGATAGAGGGTCGGGTCGGAGTACGCCGTCGGCTTCCTCGTCCTCATGCGCCGCCGTCAGGATTCGACGCCGCCCCGCAGCGGCGGAGATCCGATTTCGTGCACGGCGGGGGTATCCTGGGTGGTGAGCATCCTGGCGCTTGCGGCAATGGGGAGGGAGTAAGGTGACAGAGATTGGATGGTGCTGGAGGGGAATTCAGGGAAGGCGGCGGTGGTGGGGAGAACGGTGACAGAGATTGGTGCGGCGGCCATCGAAGGTGGGGCGGTGGATGGGGATTTTGGGGCTGAAAAGGGCGGAAGACTTTGGGGTTGAAATTTGGGGAGGGTCGGTGAATTAAGTTGCATATAGAATTATACATAAATTATTTCGAAATGGTTCATAAATTAAAATGTTGGGTGGCTGACGTGGATTCTGATGTGGCATTGACTTTGGTGCCATGTCAAATTTCCGATAGTACATGTCAGCAAGGGTTGCCGGAAATTGAATTTGAGACAAATTTGCAAAAAATAATAAAAGTTAGGTATTTAATTGCAAAATTCAAAAGATTGAGTTTTTTTTGCAATTTAACAAAAGGTTATGATTTTAGAGGCAATTAACCCTTTTATTTATTACATTTTATTTTTTATCAATTCACATATCTAAAAGATCTTTCATTATTCGAAAAATAAAAAGATCTACTCTTCAACTCGATTTTTGTTTTCATTAAAACTATTTTTCTACAACAACTTTTGCAAAAAATGTAACGAATTTGTGGAAAATTGAAATTACGGTTGTTGTAGAGCCACGCCGACTTTATACCTCCAAATCAACCGACCCCGGATTTCTCAACCTCACGAGCCAAAATCGGAGCAGCTAATTCAGAAACTAAAAAATTAGATAATTACTAATTTGCAGCAAAAAAAAAAAAAAAAAATGGATCATTACAAGGAATTAGGGGTTCAGAAGAACGCGAGCAAGGAGGAGATCAAGCACGCTTTCCGGAATCTGGCGATGAAATTCCACCCGGACAAGCACTCGCAGTCGCCGGAGCACCTCCGCCGCTCTGCCACGCTCAGATTCAAGCAGCTGTCGGAGGCCTACGAGACCCTCATCGACGACCGCAAGCGGGCGGAGTATAATCTCGGCAGAAACGCGTACGGCGCTAGTCGGAGTCAAAATTACGGTCACAGTTCCGGCAGCGGCGGATATAGCTACAGCAATCCGTACGGCTATGGTTACGGGCATAGTGGTGGTTCGGCGAGGAGGAGCGGCGGCGGCCACGGTGGTGTTTTTACGAAATTGGAGATGGGCCTTAGGTACCTCACCACTAGGAGTTTTCTCCTCAATGCGACATTCTTCAGGTAAATTTTTAATTTGATTTACTGCTGTTGATGTTACATCTCTTTTTTGTGCTGGGCTGCTTGTTTGTGGTTCATAGTTCATATTCATATTTGGTGATTTATGAAGTTATCAGAGGATTTAAAGTGGTTGTTTGTGGTTCATACTTGATATTCATATTTGGTGTTTTATGAAGTTCTCAGAGGGGATTTACAGTGAATGAATATGAAATGTTGAAGGCTTAAAGCTTTTGAAGGATGATTTTAAACCTTCAAAGTTTCAAACAGTGGGAACATTTCGGTTTTCTGTTTCGAGTTTGTACGTTGGATCATTTAGCAAGGGATTTAGTGTCTCTTTTCTTTGTATTCATCTCATTGTTGTGTACAATGATATCTCGATTGTCATATTGTTTGCCTTTTCATTCGAGTTTAGTTGCTGGAATTGGACTTTATTCATTATCTTTTTGGTTTCTCCATACGATAGTGTATGCAAAAGTGAGCTCAAAGTGAAAAAAAGAAAAATGGATGAATGGTTTAACTCTTGGATATTATGTCTACATCTTTTTTTAGCAAAAACATTAAAAAGAGACTAAATTTAAGGATGAAGATTCTTGTTTTAAAGCCATTGCTGCAAATCTTTCTGAAGCAGTTGTAACAATGCCTCATTGTAGCATAGACGTGAACTGAATGAAGAGCTTACGGTTGGCTAATGGTTAAAGTCATAGTATGCTATAAACACGTAAATCCGCCATCATCAAGTTATTTTTAGCTTCCTTTTTTGTACGGTTTATAGAAAGTTCATCCTAAGTTTATGCTAGAATAAATTTAAGGTCGATCCAAGTTCGTGCATAATCTCATCTCAGTCTAGGTTCTATGTTCTTAAACAATGTACATACAACATGGAAGTTTTTTTTTTTTTTTTTTTTGTTCTCTAATTTTGTCGACTCAAAACATATGTTGCATCAGTGTCTTGTTAGGTGGAATGTATATTATTGATGCTAGTGGCAAGGCGCTGTGGGAGATGCATAATTATGGGGTAAGGCATTGAGTTGGTTTACTTGCATTATGCGTTTTCTTAGTTATTCTAATTTCCTGCCTTTAAAATAATGAAATCATTTCAGAATCTAGAGAAATGTTAAACCTGTACTTATTATTATGTTATCGTGATTGCAGAAATCATTTGAAGAGGCGATAGACTCTGTAGAAAAAGCTAAAACACGCAAAGATGGCTCTTACTAAAACTCCATTCAAGGTTTCAGTTTGTTTGATTCGTGTTGGATTCTATTGGCTGCTCGCCACAATTTCTCGAACGAAACAAAGAGTATAGTTGAAGTCAACTTGTATAAGCAAACAATATATAGTTTTATAGGCATCGATGCATTATTACTTAATTGTTAGGCGTATGTATACAAGTCATACAGATTTCGGCAGTTTATACTTTGGAGAAAACCACATGGTGTTTGTTGTTGATCTAATCGTGTTTGGTATTGTTCGAGTGTACAGATACCAATTTTTGTCACTTAAAATGTACAATGCTACAAGTGTTAGTTTCATGCTGTAATATATATACTTGGTAGGGATTTATGTGCAATAGCTGATTATTGTAACATGGCACTTTTTAGGTGCCCCTAAACTTTGGCTAATTCAACTTCGTATTTCAGGTTTCAAGCCATGTGCGTGTGTATTGATCACACGGCTCAAAACCCCCAGTGAAATTCAACCCTAAAAACTTCCCTGTTTATGCATTTAGTTTTATATATTTGGCAATTGAAGCCTTTTTTTTATACTTCTGCTTAGCGAATGCCTTCTTAACCGGCTGACAGAAGATCGGTCGACTCCCTTGATAGAAGATCGGTCGAATCCCGAAAGCATGGGAATCCTTGGGCTCTTTTTTCCCATCTCTCAAACGCTTAGGAGAGCTCCTTCCTTTTCAGATCGCCGGGTTATTTGAATTTTCCATATTTCTAAATAACCGAAATCCTTGGAAAAGATTTGCTACTGATGCCATAGCCCTTTCCTGTCGGTTCTAGAGACTCTACCTAGTTCATTCATTCGTCCTAACAGCAGGAGCAGCGGGGAGCTTCAAGTCCAAGAGGTTTGAAATCGAGAAAGTTTAAGCAAATCACTCGTAAGGTTATGTAGTCCGCCTATAGCTCAACCTTTAAGCATCAACAGAAGATCCAGCAGGGTAGTCGTTCTCTGTATCCAAATGCGTCAGTAGGAGAGGAGTAAACTAACCTTATCCAACCTTTGTATCCATAAATCCCTATATAGCCTACCAGCATTGTACCCTTTTGCGAGCAAGTTAGCCTCTATTTATTAAACCCTTTCGTCAGTCACCAGCTAATCGTGAGAAAGCTATTTCTGCAGAGTTTGCAGAAGTGCCCCTTGTTTAGTATTTCCTCGTCCCTGTCTTCGTAGTGCTTCTCCAAGCCGCGAGCCCTCTTGAATTTGTACTCCTTTGGAAGTAGACGTTTCTTCTTAGCAACATTCTCACAATGGACACATGTCCTCCAAGAATCGTCATCAGCACCTATATATATATGAAATAATATATCATGGCCTCAAACTTATAAATCTAAGAATTTTTTTTTTATACCTTAATTGCATAATGAAATCATAATTGCTCTGATACCATAATGAACCCTAATTGCTCTAAATGCTCTGATACCCTAATCAAAAAAATAATGAACCCTAATTGCTCTAATACCATAATGAACTCATAGATCGAAGAACAATGTATTGCCACAAACCAACCAAACCAAGAACAATGTACACCTCTCAACCAATAATAGATTTACAAACAAGATTGCAGGAATCTGAAAAACAAGGGAGACCACCACAAACAGGGCCTAAACAAGAATTCAAACAACCCAATCAACCTACACTGAAGCGTAACTGTAAATCCCCGTTCGTTTATTAGAATTTTCCAGATTTTTATATTAATTATTTATTCGTCTCGCTTTTATTTTGTCTTAGTGCTCGACAAATTTTCCCTATCAAGTTTATTATAATTAAATAGATGTCCTCGTCTATTTAATTTTCCTAATTAATTCACCTAATCGAAAATTTAGATTTAAGATGTCCTCGTTTTCTTAAATTCTTTGATGTACTCTCGTTTTACTAAATCGTTCTAAGTGTTTGATCTGTATTTTGTACTTGAATGTTTTATTTTGCTATTGTCCAATTTATACCTAAGTGTATACTAGTCCAGCCCTTTTTTTTTTAAAATCAAGCCCTTCTCGGCCCGCGTAAGCCTTTTTACCTCAGCCCAACGCAACAGCAGCTGGACCCTCGTCAACACTCTATACGGCCCAAGAAATTCATATAGCAGACGTTTTATTTTCCCAATTTCTCGGTTCCTCTCGCTTCCGATCTCCTCTCTCGCGAATTTGCAGCAACAACGGGAGGAGTTTCCCCCACTTTTTTCGAGCAGTTGCAACAGATCCCTCGACCTTTAAATCGATCGTATCCTTCATACCCTCGCCTCATCTCCTCTCGATTGAGCCGCAATCCCACCTTCTTCAGAAATTCCTTACGGCCGGAAGACAACCGGTCACGCGAGGCAGGTGAACCGAGAACGAGCAACAGCGGCGGAGCTATTCCCGAAGAACCCCGACCAACCGCTGCTGAGCCGTCGCGAGGCCGGAATTCGCGACACCCGACCACCATCCTGGGCCAAATCGAACGCCGCCGAGAAATTTCGTCCCAGCCACCGTCGAGACGCGACCAGCCGCCCTTGCAAGCCCTTTTTCTACCGGCGTTTTTCGAGCCTTAACAGCACCAGGTTCGCGAGTCTAGAGTTTCTAGCAGTCGAGCCCGGTTCGAGTTTTCAGACCCCGTCGTTCCCCTTTTTACCTTTGGCCGGTGAGTTCCTTCATCTGCGCGACGACAAACCAGCCCCTTTGTAGTGAGACCTTGCCGGCGACCTTTGTTCCACAGCAGTCCTCCTTCTCAATCACTGAGAAGCAGGCCCGTAATTTTTCGAGCATCCCGTAAGTGCGAGGGGGAGCCCGAAACAGCAACGGCAGCCTTTCGGGCCCGTGCGGGATCGTCCTCGGCACCCGACCTTGTCCGACGAGCCGCAGCCCCTGTTCGCAGCTGTAGGAGACCCTCGCTTAACCGAGTCATTGCTCTTTTCTTAAGCCGAGAGAGGTATATTGGCTGTACCTTTTTACCTCATTCTTGGCTGAGATATTGTGCTCTTTGTGCCTTTACTGTTGTGATAAATTGAGGTGGCTGGCATGTGTTTAGGTGTTGAATTCACGTGTGGTTGACTCACAGTTTTATCGGTCTGTTTTTGTTGATTTCTCCACGAAGTTTATATGCCTATTTCGTGCTTAAATTCAGTGTTTTGTTTCAGTTTTTAAGGTCTTGATATATATGTATGTGAACATGAGAAAAGACAGGAGGGTTGAAGGCATGTATATATGTTGCTGTTTGAGCCGAGTATGGGTTGCTTTTTGTTTAACTTATGTGAGGATAAGCATGCTGATTATATGGTGCTTTTATCAAGTTGTGTTCAAAATTAATGCCCATAGATGTGGTGGAGACATTGAGAAGAGAAGATAAATCAGAGAGTTGTTATTGTGTTTTATTTTGGATTTGCTTGATCTTAAATTTGTTAGAGAAAAGTTATTTGTACTTATAAGTTCATGTATTTGTGCATTAAATGTCTGTGACTTATTTGTGCATTGTGCTGCTGTGTTATTCATACCTATATATTTCTAAGGTTGTTATATATTTTACATGATGTGATTATGTACATTTCAGAGTGTTAAAAAATAAGTTCTTGAGGCCTAGATATGGATAATTGCTGAAGGTTCCTCATGTGATTTAATGGTTGAATATGTTCTTAAATGTTATAATTTTGTTCAGCTCGTAAGGCCTTTTCAATTGCTTTTGAAACTTGAGAGTAGAAAGTTAAACATGTTGTGTTTTGGGCCTTGATTAATCACTTTCGATGTTGAGCCTTTTATGCGGGTTATATGTTTTAATTGTGCCCTACCTGCCTTATTTGCCGTATTTAATTGCCCGATTAGTTGTTTGTTTGCCTTGCCTGTTTTTGTGCCTTAATCAACTAGATAAAAATCAATAATAATAATTAAACCTCTAATTTTCTTTAGGTTTGATGAATCGAGCCCTCGACCTATGTTCTTCAGCTTGTGTGCTATTGCCTACCCCATTTCCAAGTGGGTGTTGATAAACTTACCATGTATGTTAATTTTTATAAATGCTTGGCTTGATGATCTATGTATGCATGTGAACCGGTAGTCTATGAGGCCTAACTCTAGCCTTTAGAGAGCGCAGTCCTGGTGTGGGCGGCTCTAGTCCTGGTGTGGACGGCTCCAGTCCTGGGGTGGACGGCTTGTTCCTATCTTTCCTGGTGTGGGTTGATAGTATGGAGGTGTGATCACATGAGCATTGCTGTGTTTAGGGAGGGTAGACTAGTCGATTTGTTTACATACAGTGACCATGATTTTAAGTCTTTATATTGATTATATTGCATGGTATTCCCACGGTGAGCTAGTTGTTTGCTCACTCCCACTATTAACCATCTTTCAGGTTGAGCTGGTGACCGTGGCGAAAGACAAGCGAGGCGTGGTCATTATTTGTGTTGAACTGCTATTTACCTGCTTCCGCTTGATTATTATCACTTGATTATCTCATGTTAGACTTATTATTTCCGTTTGGAAACTGAAAATGCTATTTGGGATTTTTAATGCTTGATTGGGATTCTTAGAACTGGATTGTTATTTGGATTATTGTTATAACTCTTGAGTTTGGATATTTTAATCATGTTGAATTGAATTTGAGTATTTCACATGATTGAATAAATGGTGCTTTTTGGCATCAGATATGTATGTTCGGGATGGTTGTTATGTGATTATTCGAGTAACACCCGTTAGATAAATCTTTTAACCGATTTTTAAAAATTAACTCTGATTTTCTGAAAAATAAAATATTATTTTTCACTTAAAAATAACGGGGCGTTACAGTAACATACTTGATTTCTCCGGTAAGTAAACAACACAGACTTAAGAAATAAAAAGAACACCACGTTCGTGCTTAGCAACAATAATTGAAAAATTAAAAGATTCCGGAGACACCACTGAACTAACTTCAATGGAAATTAGGCGGACAAGGCTAGGGCTTTCCAGAAATTGGGTATGGAATAAATATATTATATTTGTTCTTGGGCTAGGTGGGTTGGGCTCCAGGGCTCAAGTATAAACTCTAAATCATCATGGTAATATTAAATACATAGGCCCAGATCCACAACTATTTAACATTCTAAATTAATCATGGTAACTAGTTGGCTTTGCACAGCGAACTTAAATTTAGTCGATAATCTGGTTAAAATATTGTGGTAGTTAAACGTACGCACTGTCAGAAATACATTCTAGTTTCATCCAAATATTTATGTTAATTATGTCATCCAAGTTATCCAACCATGTAGGTAATAGAACTATCCCTCAAAAATTTATGAATGAGTTACATGCATTAACTTCAGTATTCTAATAATCACACTACACCCATGGAAACTGAACAGGGAAAAAAATTGGTGGCTAGAAAGTTGTTTTGTAGGATGGATGCATGTAGGGTCTTTGAGAACAGAAACGCTAGGAAGGAGTGATGGGCTTATATATGCTTTTGTGATGTGATTTTCATGTTTCTAGTCTAGTTCGTACTTTGATCCTCACAAAAGCTTCTCTAAAACAAAAGCTTCTCTATGTAGACAAATATAATCTAAAACACCAATGGATAAGGATTAAAAATAAATAGAAATATAAATTTGTTTCTATAAATATAAGAAGGCAATCGGGACTAATGGAAATTCTTTAATTAATCGGGACAACATTTTTACTACTGAATCTCTGCACATTAAAAGTACAGGGACGACGCCACACAACCAACACATTAAGTTAATATTAATTCAAAACAGATAGCTCACAACAGAGTATGGATTCCATGCAATTGTAACAGACTTGAGATATATTTTTAATTCTTAATTTCTACAATAAAGTGAAAAATGTATCAAGTTTCGACCAAAGCGTCAGTTAATTTGTAAATCAATACACTGTTTGTTGCAGGGCAGAGCATTGCTGGAAGTGTAAGCAATTATTGTGTGCATCACGTGCATTGGCCCGTACTCATCTTGAAGTTGCCCCAGAAACAAGCTCATTACTGATCAGAAACAAATAAATAAATAAATCCACTAATAAAAAAATGAGTGTATGCTGGTTTTGGTGTTTGATGAATAAGGTTACGTAGCAAGGTAGACTCTACCATGTTATCTCTGTTGATTGAATTGATAGACTGGTTTGTTCACGCTATTAGCAACCAAAGCAGTTTGGTAGGTGCCCATCATATTTATAATACAACCACTTTCAAGCACTCCAACTGATCCTACGAACACCATATCAATTGCATCCATGCTAGCCACGACAGAGTCTATTGAAAGTCTTGGCACAGTATTGCAATTATCTCCGAGCCATACATTAGGAGAATTAGCTAACCATTTTCATTTACTTTGAAATGTGAATACAAAAATGAAGACAATGAAGCATAGGAGAAACCAAATTAATGAGCCAATCAATAGCGTTTATGATATCTCACCGAACTTCTCAGCACGTTCTATAAAGGCGAGACTTAGCTGAATTGAAGTCTTCATATTCCAAAATCAACGTTTTTGTCACATAGTGCATGAATAGATCACATTCATCCATTAAAGAGATAGAATTGTCTCATGACTGCATAAACAAATAACGGTTTTCATAAACCACCTCATCAGTTATTTACAACTTCTTCAATATAATGGTTGATTAATATTGCTCAGTCAGCCATAATGTTACATAAACTGGCAAGGAAATCATAAAGTTCGTAGCAAACATATTACTATGCATAATCGGTTCTCCTATAACTATCGTCAAGTTGTGTTAGCTATCTAAACAGAGTTTGCATAACACACACAGACACATAATGTGTGGTTTAATAAGAACCAACCTCTAGTGTAAGAACCGCAAAGAAATAAGATCAGAATCATTAATTATGAATATCCCAAACAAGCGTAAAATAAAACCCTGATACATCATAAAAGGAAGAATGGTGGAAAGTAAAGAACAATTTAAAAAGGTTAACCTTCGCGGCAATATCAGGTCCAGAACCATGTACTGCCTCGACAAGAGCAATTACCTCCCTCACCAATGTTAATGCTGTAAGGGGACGAATTAAGTGAAAGTGTGAAACTTAGTTATATACGAATGGGATACTATTTAAAGACACGATGGAAGAGAAAAATACCTAGGATTTACGCCCAAACCTCCTATCAAACCAGCGCATAGGTTGTTCATTATGCCACCATAAAGAATTGGCATGACAAACACATCAAAAAGTGATGGAATCTTCACCAGCTGCACATTGTGGAAAAGAGTATTACAATTTCATCATTATATTATTTAGTTTTTCCTTCAAGAATATAAAAGTTATAATTAGAATAGTAGTAACTCTTATATAAAGAAGATATCAGCTCTCCAAGAAAGTACAATCAGTATTCATAGCAAACAAATCTTTCATACCATCCTCAGCAGTTGTCAATCACAACTTCTTCATATTTTATTATTTTATATTTGGATGTTTCTGTGCGACCTCGCGACAACACTGCAGAACGAGACAGAAAATGAACAGCCAAAATGACAAGGGTAAGAGAATCAATCCGAAACGATATTCAAAAAAGCAGACCTTAAGGAAAAGACAATCAGTTTTCTGCATGATATTAGCTTTGTGAATGGCAGATACTCTTTCTCGTCCATGGGTCTTGGCGTAGTGAAATACTCGACAACCCTCAGACTTGTCTGCTGTCTAATGATCTTGAAACTCAGGGGGCTTAATCATATTTGACGACATATGAATGGCTTTAGGATCAAGCTCATGCCTAGAACAATCTTACCTGATGTTCAAGTCCATTGTATTCCCCTTCCGTGTTTTCTCGAACAGCAAGGAGATCAACATCGTATTTTGTCTTGTACCCAGGTAGACTATAACAAGGTCTAACATTGGCATATAGATGCAGCTCTTTCCTGAAAGTAAGATTAAGAGAGCGGTGACCTTTCCCGATTAGTGTCGCCGTAGGCCTTTCAAGCCAACTTTGCCCAGCTGAATGACGACGTCCCTCTCTGCAGTCTCCCTTGACATTTTGGCGTTGCGTCCATATATCATCGCCTCAGATGCAGACCTTCTCGATGCTTGTGAATCAGAGCAGCTTCATCGTTGCCTTCGGTAGCGGGAGGTCGTCGGCCACCTACCCATAGCTCACCCTGAGTTTTGGAATCAACTGAATGAGCAAAATGAACATCGATTTCTCGAACCACTTCGGGTTCCGCTGCTTGAGTTTCCATTAAACCACTTTTCTGTTCGTCCTTCACCGTCAGCTCCACATATCTAGATTGGGGGAAATGTCGTCAGTCAGCGGGGCGGGGGCGGAGGCGGAGCCGGATCAGGAGGGCAGAGCTAGAATTTGGTTGGGGTAGAAAGTGATGCTTTGGCTGTGAACTGTTCCAGATAGAAAAAGAGCGAGGTTAGGGTTTGAGGATTGGAGAGTGAAAAAACTCTTAAAATACTAACATGAATGCTCAATAGTGTCAAACACATTAGCCCAAAAAAGACAGAATGCGCTAAAGGCCTAAAACTATAATAATGCATAGCTCCTTCAATAGTAAAAAACTTCTTACAATTTCCCACAACAGGTTTTCAGATTTACCCTTCAGATGTTTGGTATTAATGTCTTTCCTCACGCCATTTTGACCAGCACCATTTTTACTCTCAATTTGCAATTCTTTTCTCTTTGAATTTTCTTTCCCTGAATTATGGGCTGCTGCCTCCTGCACCTGAGTAACTTTCCTGATGGGATTTTCGTCCAAAGACTGGTTTTGCTCCAAGAGGATGATCTGGAAAACTCATCTTCTGCTCCCGATTCTGTTAATATTCCATAAAATCAAATGAATAGTATTCGGTAGCCAATTTCATGAATCAAGTGCCAAAAACATAAACAAAAAAAATGAATTTAAAAAAAAAACCTCCTGCGAGTTGTTTAGTAATGCGAACGTTTTCTTGGGACTTAGCATTCAAGCCTTCTATATTGGATTCTGATGATTTTTTTGAATAAACAATGCCCAATGGTTCTTTCAATGAGGTAGGTGATTCCTATCAGTTATAAACAGTAAATACAGTAAATCAAATCACACAAAGATATAAAATTTCTTATAATCAATACATTTGAAGCAACAAAAAAATTTAAGGGTATGACAAGAAGTATACACCTGAGGAAGCACATGTAATGCCCTGACTGCACCAACAAAAGTCTGAAAATAAGAAACCAAGAATTCAACATACCTCTTATCAGGAAAAACATAAATCAAAATGAAAAGGCACAAATTGACAATGTGAAATAAGAGAACTTACAAAGGTAGAAACAACATCTACAAACTCATCCCTGGCTGTAAGAACGGAATAGGAAAACATAAACATATTAGGATAACAATACAGTACAATAAAGACAAATATTCTACTACACATTAAAGAAAATTTTAGAGGAATTGGGACAATAACCGTCACCAACAACAGGAAAAACATTGGTTCCAACTTTTGAAAGGATCCAATTTTTAAAACATCACTGATGAACACATTTAAAGGTTCTAACTTTTTAAAACCAAATTTTGACTGCAACACACATAAATACCAGAACATCGAAAGGGAGACCAACCCGAAAAAAAAAAAATAATAATAATAAAAAAAATAAAAAAAAGATATTCAAAAAACAGGTCGTTGTTACTCGTTTCTTGAAATCATCTCTCTCGTCCTCAAACCTACCTGCATTTTGGTCTATCTGGAAAGGACACGCCACTTAGAAGATTTCATATTAAGAAATTTACTTTCCTCTAAAACTCAAGAATGGTCGTCTGCCCCTAAGATGAAAAATCAAACCTATAAGTGCATTTAAAGCATGTTTGTTTATAAGAAATTTTCAAAAAAAATTCTACATTTTAACTCAACCATTTTTTTAACTCAACTTTAACTCACTCCCACTATCATCAAAATTATCAATATAATTAAATAATATCAATCAATCATTCATATACACCACATCAACCTTAATTCACTATTCATCCACTCACATTATTTTAACTAACCATCACTTCAAATATCTCTCATACTTTTACATCATATCAATTTTAATTATTTTATTATAAATATTATTTTAATATACCCACTAACAACTAATCATACCACCTTTTTCAAAATTAACCAAACCAAACCAAAAAATCTAAACAAAACCAAAAAATTTTATAAACAAACATGTTATTATTACTGTACACGCTAACCTTTGAATCGTATATCTTACTGTAAGTGCGGCGTGGGGCTTCAAAGCGGCAATCTCCACAGGAAAATGTTGGCTGACGAACCCTAACTTCACAACAAATAAGGCACAGGACAATTTTGAAAAAAAATAAAATAAAATAAACTGCAAATGGCAGTAGATGGAACCACTCACCGGCATATCCGTAGGCATTCATCTTCGCGGCAGAGATGTTGGATTCAATGATGGGCTATAGCAGTAGGCTCCACCCGACTGGGAATTAGTCGGGCAGCGACCATCTGGAGGGACTGTGGAGGAACCCTGCAACCTAAGAAGCTCATAAAAGTGGGTTTAGAGGGCTGAATTTGACAATGGTGTGCGAAATCGCCGTATGGGGATTGTTGGTGGTGCTTGAAAGTATAGAAAAATAAATGGGAGAAGATTTAGGGCTATTTGTAGCGGAAGAATCGGAAGATGGCGTGCGTATATGGTGTTTGAAGATTTAGGGGATATATCGTACCAGAAATCAATGTTAGGTAGGAATCTGATGGGAGATGGAGAAAAAACAGTAGAAATTCCGAGAAAAGCAATAAGTTGAAATGCAATTACCAAAAAGCCAAGTTTTTAAATCAGTCCCAAAAAAACAATGAGAGTACTTTCGTAAATTTAGTTCAACACAGCAAACACAAATGTGAAAATTCAGTGGCAAAAATGTAAATAAGTGGGACACGTGTTGTGTTTTTAAGGCCCCAAAACTGGACACGTGTCGCCAATCTAAAGGTCATACACTTCTTCATATATAGATAAGAGAGAGATTAAATACATAGGCCCAGATCCACAAATATTTAACCTTCTAAATTGACACTAAAAAAATATTTAACACTAAACAACATACCTCCGCCTCCGCCGGCGGCAGCTGCGAAAGCGGCGGCGCCGGCACACGGATGCCACCCCTTGGACGTCAGCCCGCCTGAATTTACAGGGTATCAAAACAAGGAACTAGTGAGACCCTTAGAGTCATATATTATTAAAAAACAATAGAAGCATACCTCCGCCGGCAGGGACAGGGACGGCGTCGGTGGCCTGAAATCTCGCTGTGATTGAGGGGTAGCCTGAGTTCAAAGATTACATATGATAAAAGAACAGAGCATATAAACAAGAAGGAAAGCAAGCAATAGTGAAAGGTAGCCAAATACAGGAGATAAGCTCTAACTGGTAGAAATCTACTATCGGCTTAACCGTCTAACTTCTTAAGAAAGGGGCGAGTCTATTCCAGATTGAAATATGGGCTAGCAGTCGACCTCAAACTTCATACTGGGCGAATCTGTTCCTTCTCATTCCTTAGGTATAATCAGTCAAGGGACCCCTAAACATGCGACAGAAGCCCGAAAAAGGCAGCCTAGATAGGAAAGTCAAAGTAATGACCTACTACTTGACTTTCTCAATTGCATCGATCCTAAGCGAATGGCCAACTTCCCTAACTACATGAACCAGAACAATTATTTAGTAAAGGGCAGCTAACAGGAAAGCACGGATCAACAAGCTAGTACGGCACTAGGGTTAACTTCTCTCTCCTCCGAAGAGCCGATAGTGAAATATTAGCACACAGACACAAACGAGTAAGGTTTATTAAAGTATCAGGAGCAAGGTTTTATTTCTTACCTTTCTTTCCAGCTTTCTTTCTCCTATTGTCAGCTTTCATTCTCCATCCTTTCTTTCCAGCTTTCTTTCTCCTATTGCCAGCTTTCATCCTCCATCCTTTCTTTCCAGCTTTCTCTGTCTTCTGTCCAGGGAAACAAGCACTCCCTTCAGCCTTTCTTCCTTTTTTTGGGAGTGCTTGTTTCCCTGGACAGAAGACAGAGAAAGCTGGAAAGAAAGGATGGAGGATGAAAGCTGGCAATAGGAGAAAGAAAGCTGGAAAGAAAGGATGGATAATGAAAGCTGACAATAGGAGAAAGAAAGCTGGAAAGAAAGGTAAGAAATAAAACCTTGCTCCTGAGACTTTAATAAACCTTGCTCGTTCGTGTCTGTGTGCTAATAATTCACTACCGGCTCCTTCGGAGGAGAGGGAGGTTAGCCCTAGTGCCGTTCAAGCGTACTAGCTTGCTGATCCGTGTTTTTCAGTCTAGCTGCCCTTTACTAAATAGTTGTTTTGGTTCATGTAGTTAGAAAAGTTGGCCTATTCGCTTAGGATCGATGTAATTGAGAAAGTCAAGTAGTAGGTCATTACTTTGACTTTCTTATCTAGGCTTCCTTTTTCGAGCTTCTATCGCATGTTTAGGGAGTCCCTTGACTGATTATATCTAAGGAATGAGAAGGGAACGGATTCATCCAGTATGAAGTTTGAGGTCGACTGCTAGCCCATATTTCAATCTGGAATAGACTCGCCCCTTTCTTAGAAAGTTAGACTATTAGACCAATAGTAGATTTACTACAGTTAAAGTTTATCTCTTGTAATTGGTTACCTTCCACTATTGCTTGTCTTCCTTCTTGTTTATATACTATGTTCTCTTATCATATGTAACCTCTGACTCAAGCCGCCCCTCAATCACAGCGAGATCTCAGGCCGCCGACGCCGGCCACCCCTGCCGGCAAAGGTATGCTTCCTGTTGTTTTTTAATAATATATGACTCTAAGGGTCTTTCTAGTTCCTTGTTGTTTTGATATCCTGTAAATTCAAGCAGGTTGACGTCCAAGAGGTGGCATTCGGGTGTCGGCGTCGCCGCTGCTGATGCCGTCGGCAGAGGCGGAGGCGGAGGTGGAGGTATGTTGTTGTTTAGTATTAAATATTTTTTAGTGTTAATTTAGAAGGTTAAATATTTGTGGATCCCTATGTATTTAATATTACCATGATTGATTTAGAAGGTTAAATAGTTGTGGATCTGGGCCTATGTATTTAATATTACCATGATGATTTAGAGTTTGTACTTAAGCCCTGGAGCCCAGCCCACCTAGCCCAAGAACAAATATAATATATTTATTCCATACACAATTTCTGGAAAGCCCTAGCCTTGTCCGCCTAATTTCCTTTGAAATTAGTTCAGTGGTGTTTCCGAAATCTTTTAATGTTTCAAATGTTGTTGCTAAACACGAACTTAGGGTTCTTTTTATTTCTTAAGTCTGTGTTGATTACTTATCGAAGAAATCAAGTGTGTTACGCTTCAGTGTAGGTTGATTGGGTTGTTTGAATTCTTGTTTAGGCCCCGTTTGTGGTGGTCTCCCTAGGTTGTATTCGGGGCTATTTAGTCTCGCGGCTTGTAAATCTATTATCGGTTAAATGAAATCTTTTCATATTCCTACAATCTTATTTGTAAATCTTGTTAACTAAATGAGATAATCGAGTTCGACCTCGGTTCGTTTATCAATATTAACGAACCGAACTCTAGCAACGCGACAAGCTATATAAAATTATATTAAAAACATTCTTTTCGAGCTTTATTGAGTCAAGCTGAGCTCCACTTGTTAACTAAACAAGTTCGAATTCGACTCATTTGATGAGTCTAGTCTAGCTCACAAAGCGCTTCATATCGTTTAAAAGCTCTACTACAATTACTACGACTGACAATTAACAACCCAATTTGATTACGAGCCACAAACCGCATAATCCTTGCTTAATTATAATATTATTATCCTTAATAATCAATTACCCTAAAAAACAAAAGAAAAAATATAATCTGCTGTCAATCTTCAAAGCTAATTTCCTCCTTAGTTCCTAAGCATAAGCTTTGAGCAACCATAGCCAAAAAATAATCCAATGAAGAGTTTGCTTACAAACTAATACAAAAATTCAATAAAAAAATGGGCTTTTTTTAATCAGTATTTAAATATTTATTCAAGGTTTTTCCTATTCAACCGTTTTTGAGAGTAGGAACGATTTGGTTTTCAAGAAAAGCCGTTATGAAAGATGGATGCCCAAGAAAGAACAAACACAAGCAAAGCAAAGAACGATGGAAACTTTTCAAAGCTGAGAAATTTTCGCTTACCTCCAAAAAGTATAACAAGGAATGTGATTTAGGCTAAAAAAAATGAAATAAAATTACACACGAAAACTTTAAGTATCGATATAAGCTAATTGTGACCACGAGCTTGTAGCTCAAAACTCAAGTGGTGCTCCTCACCTTTATATATCTAGTTATAGTTCCTCATACTAGCATAGTTTGATCGCTTTTAACCACTGAGCAGGCTTCAAAAGACGCTGAATACAATCATTCATTTAGCGATGATGAAAAGGCTCAAGCAAAAAGTTTGCGATTGTCGTGTTATTTGAACAAGAACTCGGAGAATATCAAAAAGTTTGAGATGATGCACCAAATCCTATTCAGTTCTCTATTTTCTATAGTCCTTTCATGTGTAGATTTTTGGATAATTACAAAAACTACCCGTGCACCTGTTGAATCTACCCCTAGTAGGTGCAAAATTGTAAAAAGAAACATTTGTTAAGAGGGGTATTTGTACTTCTGAAAGATAATGGGGTGTTTTCCTAGTTATGCTAAGCTCAAGAGGTTAGTTTTGTAACTGTCACAAACTACTCTAACTACTCTAGTGGCATTTTTTTAAACTACTGGGTAAAGAAAATATAGGAAATTCACTTGGTTTTACTTAACAACATGTCCTAAAATTAGATCCACACAACGTAAAAGCTCTGGTCAGAAGATCACAAGCATATATGAGAACATCTGATGTAGAGAAAGCAGAGAGGGATATTAACCAAGCTCTATTGCTCGATCCAAACAACAGGTATGGGAATCAAACTTTACAGTTTCTCTTCTTAGATTATTCTTTTCCCAAAGCTTTCTTCAAGAATCTTCGTTTTTCTTTTACTTTCTTGCATATTACTGTTTACCGTTCTTGAATTACAAGAGAAGTGAAGATCAAAAGCAAGGAGTTGAAAGAAAAACAGACACTATGTTAAACACGAAGCCAAAATGTTCAGCACCATAATTTCAAGAATAGGTTAAGCTACCTAAAGCCTGCTGTCAAATACTTTGAAAGGGTCAGATTGTGAAAGCAAGGCAGTATGATCACCTGGAAGTGCAAATTCAAAAACGAAAGGGATAACTCAGAGTTTAAATTAGAAAAAAAGACAGTTACTTATTGATTAAACATTGAATAAATGCAAGCATGTATCTAGATCCACTATAATTTGAGTTAGATCTCAAGTTTCTATTGTTGTCTTAGATTGAAGGTTAAACCTGTGACTAGAATAATCTTTATAAGTAGTGCGATTCTATTTAATATAGCTTTAACGATTTTATTATAAAACATAATCGAGTAATATAAGACAAAAAATGTAATATAATATGTCACAATGTAATTCAATAACATATAATTCTTTTCTACTATTTACAAAATATGAAAGTGAAGACAAAGAAAGGTACATAATTTGAACTAGCAAGTGCTGATAGAGCTTACATTTTGCACCTTATGAAGTTGTTAATCACCATTGTTCATGCATAGTGTTCTCTGGTAAAATATGAGACATACAAGCCCAGGAAAGGATTTCAAAGCTTCAATGAGACATGAACACGACCGACCATTTGCAGACTCTAATGCAAGCGATTCTTAGCTTGTAATTGAAAAGAGTAAATGTTTTGAAGTAAATAGAGTTGACACAACACAGGTATAATGACTACATTTAGGTGAAAAAGTTTAAAGACGTCCCAAAAAGTTCATGTGAAAGTCAAAAAATGATATTTTTAACAGAAACTCTATAAACAAGACAAGGAAAGCCCAAATGAATACAAATCCAAATAAATTTGGTTGATAAAAATAACACACACACATAGACACGCAAGCAAATGCATAAATAAATAAAATTCCAGACAGACAGACACACGACTATAAAAGTCCATCAATTCACAAGAAAAATAGCTAAGCACTCAACAAAGTAAAAAGCATCAATCAGCATATCCATTTCCTTCACATGCTCATACCAAGTCAACAAAAGTCAATCATCTCAATTATTCACAACGCAACCCCCAATTTTCTAGGTTTTTTGGAGGGTGGGCAAATTCACCAAGAAGCAGATGAAGAAGATTAAAACGAATAAGCATCGAGAATCCTACCAATTTCAAAGCAGACAAATGCATCAACGCAAGCATACTGAACCTGAGCCGGCGTCAGCCACCGACTGTCCCATCTGCTCATCGTAAAACCCCCCTCGGCTTCTCCACGTCCCTCTCCAACACAGCTGGTGGTCAATGAAGTCAATGTCCGCGAACAGGACTTAAAGCGCAACAGAATCGGACCCCTGAACTAAAAACTACACGGAAACGGCTAGATAGAACCGACGCCAGATCTGAAAGCCCGAAGAAACTGCTCGATGGCAAAAGGAGGCCCGAATGGATCTGCTTCGAACAGCGATTGATGACCAAACTCGTGCATCCTTAGAGGACTCGATCCGGTGGTGAAACCAACCCGGACGGACCCCAGCCTGGAGGTGACGACGGCGAAGCCAGTCGGGCGAAACTGCGGCCAGGACACCGAAATCGGCCGGACCGAGGCAGAGGCATCAAGACGATGCAGCGGCACTGAACCCGGCCCGAGAGAGGGCTGCTCGGCGCGAGCGCCGCTGGCCCTCTCCCGCTCACGGCCGTGGCCGGAGGCACCACGAGGCGCAGCACAGGGGAGGCTGAAGGGCCACTATCCTCAGGGCCCAGACGAAGAAGTAGTAGCGGGGATGGTGTTGTGGTTCGCCGGAGGAAGAAGGGAGGGCGTGGCTAATCAGTGAAAGGAGGAGTTACGCGGCGGCGGAAAATGGGGGAGAGAAATTAGGGTTTGGCGCGACCTAGAGGGGGTTGATATTGTGATTGAAAAGCTGATATTAGAAACGCTAGGTGGTTTTAATTTAGAAATAATTGATACTAGTACAATACCCGTATATGACACGGGTGTTGAATTAGAAAATTTTTATAAAAAATATTAAATTTTTTATTTTTTAAAAAATTAAAATAATTTAATTTTATATAAAACATTATTTTGGGTTTTATTTAAATTGTCAAATTATATTTTTTAATCATAATAACTAAACACCCGCATTAAATGAAAATGTCAACCCGTGTTGAATTTTTTTACTTATATCATATAAAAATATTGATATTATTTACTATTATATAAGTACAAAAATATATATCTTAAATAAATAGAAATATTATATTGATATGTATATGCATAAGTGTAAAATATGTTTATTTAATATTAAGCAAAATAGATTAATTTTTTTACGTAATTAGATGCCTAAACTATCGTATGCTTCACAGTTTTTTAACTTTATGTGTAATTTTAGAATTTATATAATAATTATTTATTTTTATTACATTGACAACATACCAATTAGATTTGAAATAAATATCATTTTTAACCGAATACATACCAATTTCTATTACTTTATAATATAATTTATAGTTTTATTTGATATAATTTAATTTAATTTGATAAATAAATTTAAATTTCATCTATAAAGATATATATTACTGTTTTGTATCAACTCATAGATAAAAGTATTTTATATCCTTAGTAATATATTAATAATAGGCCTAATTCATAGATAAAAGTATTTCATATATATATAAATAGTAAAATACAAACGGACTTCATAATATCAATTCAAATGCAACACACTAATTAAGATTTTTTTTCTTGACAATATTAACCTAACGGATGTTATGAGAAACGATGGAGATGAGATATGAAGAGACACTGTGTATTAGATGGAGGGTTAAAAATGGAAAATATGAACAAAATATCTAAAACGACATTATTTTATCAATGATCAATTAAGCCAAAACGACAAATAATAAAAATAGAATAGAGTATATATTATAATATATTTTAATATGACACATATTAGTTGTGCGACTTATATGTTACTGGAGAAGAGACCTCGAGTAAAATAGTATATTGAACTCCAAATGCCAATTGTTCACCAATCATACCAAAAACATAGATAGTTTCATCATGAAAAGATGGCAATTCAAGATTTATTTTTTTTTTTAAATTTGGATTTTTAAAATTTGTTTCTACCTTATAACATATAACTACATTAAACATAAATATATTAATTGATAAATAATTTTAATTTCTAATTAATTTTAATAAATAATTTTATTATTATTATAAAAATAAATATAATTTATTTATTTTATATATACAATATAGATGTCAAATCGAAGCTCATCAAAAGATGATCAATTTGATATATTATTTATGTAAAACCGATAAGAAATACAAAAGTTATCAACTTTTAAAATATATTTGCAATTCAATGGTTATAATAGAAAATGATATTAAATTAAAATACAATTAATACAAATATTAATTTATATTCAAGCCTAACTCTAAATCATGATTTTTTGCCAAATAAGATTTCGAAGCATGAGAATTTGCCACGTAGACTCAGGGCATTCTGAAATTATATATAGAGGGGATTGTAATTGTAATGTAATAGTTTGGTTTGATTTGATAATGGTTTTGCAAACTAAATAACATTAAATAATAATTATAAATTAAATATGAGGGTAAATAATATTAATAAATAATTATAAATTAAATATGAAGGTAAACAATATTAACTAATAATTATAAATTANCGCATACCCTGAGAGGACAGAAAACCATATCTGCCTAGCCAATCCAATTACAACCAAAACATGACACTACCAATGGCATCTAGTCCTAAGAAAGCAGTTACTAACAGAAATTTATAGCTAAAACATCCAGCTGCAAATATCACCCAGAATACATCAAGAATAATACATAATTTAAGCTATACAGAGAAGCCCACTGACACTAGACCTAGACTCCTCCAAATGGCTTGTATTCTTTGCATTCAGTTTTATTCCTTGAAGTCATTCCAGTCCCTATACGCCGCCTTAACAATTCCCACCTCAGGCTGCCACACTTTCTCAAAAACCCACAAGTTTCTCGCTCTCCATAGCCACCATAAAATGTACGTAGACAGTTGGATTCTTTCTTCAGAAATGTCATCTTTCTTCATTGTACATACCCACCACCACCATTCTTTAAAAGTTAGTTTTTCTTCTATTACTCTATTCCATTGCACAGCCGCCAGCTTCCAAACTAACTGAGCTCTGGTACATTGGAACAACAAGTGCTCCTGTGTTTCAATATCTCCTCCACAGCTCGGACACAGAGTCTCCATTTCCAGTCCCCTTTTTCTAAGATTGCTTCTCACAGGAATGATATTGGTGAAGCCTCTCCATATGAAGTGTTTGATTTTCCCAAGGACTTTCAGCTGCCAACATCTTTTCCGAGCTCTCAAATTACCCCCTGCAACTCTACTTGATTCAGCTTCAGATGTTACACAAATCTTAGAATTTAGCAGCACCCTGTAGGCAGTCTTCACAGAAAATTTCCCTTTGGTTGCAAAAGAGCAGTTTATCACATCCTCAGAGTTAGGAATCAGTCCCTTAATCTTCAAAATTTCAGAAGCATCTTCATCCTTAAACAAGGCTTTAATCAAGGTACTATCCCAGCTGACCCCACCATTACACAGTAAGTCCTTCACTCTGAACATGTTGGCATCTATTTGCACTTTGATTTCAGGTTTGCCTCCATTCAGTCCAGGTACCCAATGATAATCACCAAGTCCTGTCTTTTCCCCATTTTTGATACAAATACTAACATGTCTTTGAAGCACAGGTAGCAGAGATGACCATGTGTTCCACAACCAAGAAGATCCTTGTGTCTTTTTGTAATCAAATAAGGAGTTAGAAGGGAAATATCTTTGTTTCAGAACTTGACTTACCAAGAGATCTTGATTTGAAAATATTCTCCACACCTGTTTCAACACCAGAGCCTTATTGAATAGGGTAATATCATGAAATCCCAAACCTCCATCAGCCTTAGGAACAGATAGCTTTTCCCACGACTTCCAGTGCATCCCAGCCTGTTGCATCTCACTCTTACTCCACCAAAATTGCGCAAACATCTTATTGATTTCCTTACACACACCCCTAGGCAATAAAAAGCATGACATTACAAACACTGGCAATAAAAAGATGTAGAGTTAATAAATTAGTCTAAGAACCACCCTCTAAAAGCAAAATGTAACAGGGAAAGAAAAATGTAACAGGCATAACTAAATAGTATTCAAACGGTCAAACCTATTGTCTGGAAGCCTTTGCTTTTCCGGGTCCCAGGACTTTCCCTTGCACGTTGTAGAAGCATTATATAATGAGTAGCTGCATTAGAGTGTTGCTAAAGAGATAATAAGTACGCATGTAATTTTACCTGATTACAGCCGCATCCACTTCTTGAGAAGTAAACTTAGCCATAGAGAGAGACTTAACACGATGCGTAAACTCACGACTGCAATCAGAAAGCACTACACATGTTGTCATGTTCAATATCGTTCACTGAAACTCTCGGCAGTATAAAGCATTTAGCTTTCAACTATAGGCCAAAGTAAGAAGCCTTTGAGGAGGTTGAATATAGAAAATCACAAATATCACGAGGCAATCACTAACAATCTATCAGTCTATCACTCTAAGCTTTTACATGACTTATCTCCAACAGCCACAAGAAAACAGAAACCATAATCTATATATTTAACTCTTCAATCAAACTGTTGGCATAAGTTCATCCCAGAATTTTATGGTTTCAACTTCCAAGTATAAAGAATAACATACAACAACTTTCTTTAAGAACATTAATTTTCACTAAGTACCACAGCTGAAACCACAACCTTAGAGATTACAAAGCTACACCACAACAACAGAACCACAATTTCTTTGAACCCATAACTATAATCACAATAATAAATTGTTATGTTAACCTTAAGCATTCACAAAACATGTTCACACCGAGGAAAACAACAGATACTCACTGTATCCGACTGCATATCAGGCAAACAAACGTCGAGAAATTTGTGCACACATACTGAGGACCCTACAACCAGAAAATATATATATATATATATATTGAATAAAATGGAAGAAAAATCTTAACTGATACGCATTTCACATTAAAAGAAATGAAAAGAATTACCAAGCTGTTGCAGTTGATGCATCGGCGATTAGGAGGGAGCTTCATCAGTCCCCTGATAATCTTTTAATTCTTCTCCTCTTCCCGTTTGCTGCTCATTTTCAAGTTCTCACTCAAAACTAGAAATCAACTATTATCCCCCCCAAAACAACACAACACGATCTACACGGCATAGAGAGAGAGATAGAGAGGGCTAATCAATAAACAACATCTAGGGTTTTAGAATGATTGATTTGTCAATCAATTCCTGGAATTTTCTCTCTTTCAATCTACTTCGATTCCTCTGCACTCTCGAGTCAAGAGGGTTCGAATTTTTGCAGCAATTATTATGCTCTGCATCATTGTGACCGTTGAAAAAGGCTAACGCCAGTGCACATACGGGCGGGTCCCGTTTTGTCTTACTCACGTTTGCGTCTGGAATGACGGGAATTGTCCTGGCAATAGTACATTTTCCTTGTAACGTAGAAATAATTATCGAGTAATTTGAGTCTCCTTGGAGTTGGAGTTAATTCGTAAAATGGCCAAAATATGAGCTTCCCTCAATTTTATATAGTTCAAAGAATAATTAATAATCAGACTATGAGTTTCATGTCCAGATTATAGTCTTATCATATTATCATTTGCTTATATGTGACTATCTTTATATGAAGTGACGGAACTAAAAAAATTTATTCAGGAGACCCAGGTTTAAATGATAAATAACGAGGTTGAAATTTAACTCGAAACACTCATTTCATATAAAAATATATTTACTATAATATAAATATTGATACGTGTACCATGTGTTTAAAAATTTAGAATCCGTATCACCTTCAAACTTAAAAAAATAAAAAATAGAATTTATGTATTTATAATTTTAGTTCAACATCTATAATATATGGAAAAATAAGTTTTTTTGTTGAAAAAGATATTTAAATTGAACTTTTACACAACATTGCATAGGATTTTTGTTGATGAAAGCTTATCAAATAAATATTTTTTTAAGAATAAAAAAATAAAGTTAAAAATATGTGATTACACAAAAAAAAGAGTAAAAAAATCAATATTAAAAAATGTAACAATCCAACTAATAAATATTCGATTTTATAAATCACTAAACCGATTTACAATTAAGTGATCGAAAGAGTAAATCATTATAAATGTTTTCAAAAGCTTATCTAAAAATTTAAAATATAAGGATTTTTAGTATATTTTTAATTAAATAAATAATATTATTAATTTAAATAAAAATTACATAAGAAATAAATTTTAATTAGTAATATAAAGAAAATATTTTTACATTTCTATTTATATTTTATAGTATTTTCTTTATATATATATATATTTATTTTTAATAAGTTTTAATTATTAATATATTGATTTTTTTTTGTCTTTACATATTTTATATTATTTATATATATATATGTATATATTAATTTTTTTAAAACAATCAGGGGATCTACGAGCGCCTCTGGCCCCATANGAAAAAAAAAAAAAAAAATTGATCCTTTCATTTTCTCCTATTTTCTTTTCTTTTTTTTCTTCTTGCTCACCCAGTATTGAGAATGTGTAAAATTGTGTTGGGGAATTCCTGAGTGAATTGAATTATGTGATAGTGAATGAAAATGATTCAAAACACCATACATTTTTTTTCACAAAATTAAATACATTTTCTTTTTGTTAAAAATCGAATAATTATGCTATGAATATCATAACTTTTGTTTATGCTATTTTTTAATAACATTTCAATTTGAAAGTATGCATATGTGTTGAGAAAGTATATTAGAGCGAGCAACAGAAACATGTTCGAGACTTATGTACAAAGATAATCCATCAATTTTGAAACTTATATGAAATATACAACACATCCATTTTGAAGCTGTGTATAGTAATTTCTCATATTCTTAATTTTGGATAAACGGAGCCATAAGCCATTACATTACACCTCAAGAGAGTCCTGAGGTATGTACACAACTCACAGGAGAAGAAGATTCAGTCATAACTCAATCGCTAGCTTCTTAGTAAGTTATAAGCTGGCAAATCACTCACACTCGACACATCCTCCAGTGCCATCTCACGTTCTAGCTGTGATCTTGTAGACTTCAGAACATCCTAAATAGAACAAATCGAAAAATAAACATAAAAATTTTCAATAAAACCGCTATAACATTAACTTCCAAGATCCAAAATCTATGCAAACTTACGTTGAATTCCATATATGAAGCGCGTTGTGCGAGCCATTGAGCGTCCAATAATTTGAAAGCAACGCAGAAAAGGTTGTCAAATGCCATGTCATCGTAGCTGAGTATTTCCATAAACCGTTGCCCGGCCAAAGTGCTAGGGTTCCCTGCAAAGATGATAGAAAAATTCGATGATTGAAATTAAAGAAAAAGAAAATAATATTAACAAAAAAAAATGGAACCATACCCGACTGAAGGTCTAACATCTGGACCAGCATGAAGGAGATATTTATGCCAGCCACAGCAAAAGGATACTCCCACTCGGACCTTTGTCCGTCTCTCTTGTGCAACAAATTTTGAAATGCTTCCTACAAAATACGAATTAAGGGAGGGAAAAGAAAAAAAAAAAAGCGAATTAGATACTTCCTTTGTGATTAAATGTCAACGCAGTATAGCTAAACATTAGTGACCATAAGCTGATTGCGGTAAGATAAATATCAAATAATGACGCAAGTAAATTTTGGAGGAATGAAAAAACGAGCCACTCATTTGGCAAGCACAGCTTATTTAAATAACAATATAACAGAAGGCCAGATGGAAGTCATTAAAAAGGCAGATGAAAGATAATAGATAGAAATACGGACCGGATATTTCTTGGCAAAGAATATCAGATTCTCCAAAGATATGAATCCTCCACCCCTAAACATAGTGTAAAGAAATTTCCGGATAAATACTAATTCGTATACTTGTGTAAACTATTACCTATTTATACATCACCACACCTGAAATCTGTTGAGGGATCAGATCCTTGCCAACCCATCTCTTTCCAAGCTTCCGACTTGAGAGATGGGAGTTCTCTGTCGGGATAAGATAACCTCCAAAGTTGTCTAAGTGCATCCTGCCAATAGAATACATAAAACAATTGATGCAAAACTAAAGATATCAAAAGCACAGATCAAGAGTGTTTTATCACTGAACCGAAACGAACCCATTTCTTATGTCAAATTACCAACTATATCATAAATTTCACCAAGGATCCACTAGGTTGCTCTGTTCTCATATCAAAATCAAATCTACTGTTGCCATGATGAAATAGAATTCGTTCAAGATTACATATCTAACTGTAAATTTGATTTCAGAGAGAGAAAAAAAGGAAGGCAAAATACGTACTTGATGCTCTAAAAAAGTGCCATCAAATGGCACTGCAAGCCTCTGCTTTATATGCTTTAGCCTCGCATCCTATCGTCAAATCAATAAGAGAATCAGAGAATATGTTTTGTGAAATAAGAAGGTAGAAAGGGACTTATTAATTCATGAGTAAGTTAATAAAAGAAAAAATATATAATCATTGTAGCTATGTAATGGGCGTTAACCCCCCAAAGAAATTTACCAAGTCCACAAACTATCCTTCACAATTAATGCCAGGAGACAGGTTCAATAGCAACATCTTTGTACATAGGACACATGCACACACAAACGCAAGTTGATGAGAAATTTGGCATTGTTACAAAGGATCGCTTGCCTCTGAGTCAATGCCGATTACAATTATATCACAAACCTAAAGATAACTTTAAAGCTGCTATGCCCCTCAGATATTTATTGACTATGTTCTTTTACCCTCCTATTACCAAGCAAAGAAGAGATTCTTGGATGATTGACAAATTTAAAAAAAATGATTGCACAATTTCTAAGTACAACAAAAAAGCAAATCAGAATGAAATGTCAAATGGAGTAACTGAACGGTACCTGCAAGGGACTAAGTAACATAGGTTGAAGGAGGCTGTTTGCCCCATTTTGATTGCCCGAAACAAACGGTAAAATTCGTCCAAGAAGAGACCCCGACCCGAGGACAATATTTGCTGGAAAAGAGTGGATAAAAATGATTGAATAACCCATTTATATAAATGTAAGGAGCATAACATGCATCAAACTAAGAACAACACAATAAGAATAAACAAATTTACACTTGTAGTCTTGTACTATTCATATCAAATCGCTCCCAACATTATCAACACATAACACGGATCCATGGCGCAAATTATATCTCCAAGCTTCACTTTTGAATTCACCTTATCACTTTCTTCCTTATCATTCACTGCTATACACAGAGTCATATTTATTTTCTGTATTTTGCATCTCCTAAACAGAAGCCAATACTCCATTTCAATGATTTAAATACTTACTACAATCCAGCGCCAAGAACTCTGCTTTATTATTATTTTTTTAATCTTGGCCTCAGTATAAATTCCACAAACAAACCAACATCACCCTCATATCCAACCTTGATAAAACTTATTCTCTGATAAATTCGCTATAGCGAGGCACATTCAATTTCCAAATGCAACCAAGAACAAAAACATGAATCATGTTCATAACTCTCTAAAAGCATCAATCTTTGAGTTTCATGTCAGTAATAAAATCAGAGCCACCGTGACCAACATACAGCTCAAATCCAAACAGCATCAATAATAAAAACACACTGATTTTCAGTAATAACTTCATTCTTCTTGCCCAAAAATAAAGAGACAGAAAATGCAGACCTAACCATTGAGCCCACTGTGCAATCACATTAGAAAAGATCAGCGCCCAGTGCAGGCGCACTTTACTCCTCTCATCGTCCAGAATATCAGCCAGCGTTTGCCCCTTTCAACCGATCGACAAATCAAGTCAAATTCAAACGCAAACCTCGAAAAACAAAAATCAAGGGTCAAAAGTAAAAACTACCTCAGTGTGTTTGTTGTCGTTGTGATCAACACGATCATCGTCCCCAAGCAATGGCTCATTCAACGAATCGACTCTCGAGGTTTCGTATCGATCGTACCTACCTCCGTCGACATCTTTATGGTGGAGCCTCCTTCTCAGGGTACGGGAACTCATCGGGGATGGAGCTCGAGAGAAGAAGGGCGGCGTCGCTCTGGATCAAATCGAATTCAAATTCCGATCGATTGCTGACGGAAAATCTACAGATCAAAACCGTAAGGAGAAAGAAACTGGGGATTCAGGAGTGCTTTGCAAAGTGGGGGCAAAACCTTGAATAAATAGTTAAATACTGATACAAGCCCTTTTTTAATTGAATTTTTGTATTAGTTTATAATTAAACTCTTAATTGGATTATTTTTTTGGCTATGGTTGTTCAAAGCTTAGGAACTAAGGAGGAATTAGCGTTTGAACATCGACAAAAGATTATTTTTTCTTGTTTTGGGGGAATTGATTAATTAAGGATAATAATATTACAATTTGAGCAAGGGTTACGCGATTTATAGCTCGTAATCTAACTGGTTGTTAATTGTTAGTCGTAGTAATTGTAGTAGAGCTGTGACTTTTTGAGCTCATCTCAACTCATCAAACGAGTTGAACTCGAAATTGTTTAGTTAACGAGTGGGCCGTGACTCGACTCGATTAAAGTCGAAAAGATTAATTTTAGTATAATTTTATATAGTTCGTTTCGTTTAAATTATAGTTCAATTTCTGAATGTCTTGCTTCGTAATGATTCTTCAGACCTCTAGATTTCTTGATTTTATACTCATTTGGATTTAGATTCTTCTTTGCAGCAACTGTTTCCCAGTGAAGGCAGATCCACCAATCACTGCCATCACCTATATATGCAATACATATATTAACCAAAAGAGCAACAACTCCACTAAAAATGGAGGGAAAAAAAGGTTAGTGTTCATCACAAAATATGCACCAAGGTCCAAAACTATTGGGCAAATAAATTCTAGAAATTCACTTGGTTAGATTATGCAACTTCGGAGTTGTGCAATTATAGTTTGTTGGATAGTAAATTTAGTGTCTGGCGTCTCTTTGGTCAGATATACAAATAATACTGTAAGAAATTAGTTTTCTCTTTCTTGTAGGACAATGACAATAACTATGAAAGGATGAGATATTCACACAAGAAGAATTCTGGATGTTCTCTAGAAGATCTAAGGAGGATTTGGAAAGATTCATCACAAGATCTTTGAAGATTTGGAAGATCGGCTATTTTAGGAAAGTCATGTTTTTACAAGAGTCTGGAAACACGAGATTTCCATTGGAAACTCAATCATGAAGATATTCAAATCACATACACAAATTCTTACATCAAGGAAACTTACTTTATATGAAGGATTTCGTCCAAGATCTGAAGGGAATCAATTGAGAAGGAAATTGACTCCTAAAAGGAAAAGGAATAACTTGGAGAATACTCCATGCTTAAGGAGTTGTATATATACCTTACTTGAAAATTAAATCAAGGTTGCTGAGATCATTATTATTCACATACTATTCGAGCTTCAAGTCTTCTTTTATCTTAGTTCTCGGTTCAGTTTTCGGTGTTCTTACGTCATCGAAGAACTGAAGTCGTTTTGTTTTGTTTTCTTTGTTTTATTCAGACATTCTCGTGTTTAACACTTAGGGATTAAGTGTTGGTTAGAAAGTCCACGGAACGTGGCCGGAGAAGTAGTTGGTAGATTCGAGTATAGTTGTTGGTTAGGCTAGAAGGGAGTTCTAGTTGCTGTAATTCCAAAACTATACACATGTGCACAATCGAGTTATCAATTAAAGAGCTCTGAGGGAAAGTGGGACGCTTCCTTGAAGAGTTTTTTAAATCTTCGGTTTATTGCTTCCGCTATTCTAGTTGTTTATTTGTGTTCTAACAACATTGAGCGCACTCGCCATAAAAACCTACATTTCAAATACTCTTTTTTGGAGATCATTCATACAAGAACTTGTTTAAGTTCCTATTGAACTAGACAATGATAGGCAAATGTTATTTCTTCCTTAAAAATTCCAAAATTTCAACAAATTGTTGCCTATCTACTGAAAAGGTATCAACAGGGGTGTATTATTTTTCCCTTCAAATTTCAAAGCTGTAATGAGAGTTCCAAGTGTATTTTGAAGGTATGCCTCATAAAAGATGTAACATGGGGATTTCTTGCCAAAAATAGATATTTTGTCATAAATTTAACACAAAGCCTTTGACACAGAATTATGCTAGCTAGTTAATCTTCAGCCATCAGCCCAAGGAATGTAACTTGTATATAATATTATAAGTGCTTTATTTTGATCCTAAGGAATGTAACTTGGATGTTTCCCTGCTGGTTAGAGCCTATATACTTTGTTTCCCCCCAAAATTTGATTTGTATTATAGGCAAACTTTGTTTCCACTTGTAATTTGATATATATATGCACCAACATTGTTCCCTCATTGCATTACTAATACCTTCTTT